TTTGGGACGGTTCCTGATGGAATTTTTTGATGAACATTTTTGAGCATCTTATTCATCAAGTCTAGTTTACTCATATCGGGAACCGCCCCAAATCGCGATGGCGGGACAAAGCCTCCTATATAAGGACTTATTTGACCTTTTTATGGAAGTTCGAGGACCTATTTGACAGTTTCCCCTTTATTTTTTGCAAACACTCTTGATGGAGTATATGGCTCAGGAACCCCCGGCCCATAGACTCCTGCTTCCCCCACAAAGGCCCATTGAGCCCAAGGAGCATCTGAGGCCCGAATACAGCGGCCCAGGTCTCGAAAAAGCCCAAAGTACACACTGAGGTGCCTTTCGGCCTCCTTGGCCGAAGGCTCCAAAACTCACAGGATAGCCTTTTTTGGGCATACGAAGCCACTGGGAGAAAACGGCAGAAAACAGGAGCCTTCGGCACTGTTGAGCCCTCTGCATCAGAGAAGCCTTCGGCTGAACCAAGCCTTCGGCTACACAGGGTCCTCGGCTGCATGAATCCCTCGGCTGCATGAAGAGCCTTCAGCTAAACAGACTCAATCATCAAAGATTCCATTTGGAGACAGCCAACCACCGCATTTAATGCGACGTCACATCCACCCACCGCATTCAATGCGGTGAACATGCCACTGCCGGTGCCACCCCGATTGATGTGACCCCTCGTCTGTTGGATTACTGACACGTGTACTCTCATCGCATTTATTGCTGCTATAAATAGCAGCCCATTTCTCCTTGTAAACGATCCAGATCCACATCCCAACACGCTGAGTTCATTTAATAAATCGACTCTCTCTCCTCCTATTTTGCTCTGACTTCTCTCTAGTTATTCCCGCAATAACCCCTCGGATAAGATACCCCCCGGGTAGACTATCCACCAACTCTTATTTCGATTATTACACAATTCAACGAGTAAAGTAAAAAACTACGTGTTTGATAAAGAAGTTGGTTGATAAGGATGATAAACTGAAATTATGAATTACCAAACGGGGTCAAAATTCACGATAAGTTTGTTTCCACGTACTTGTTTGTTTTTACACCTATAATGCTAATTTAATCTCTATTCAATTATATATATTGTCAAATTGTTTGTGGTATTGGAACCATGTGTTTGGAGAATGGTTCTACTTATGTTATTGATATGTCAATGAACGTCTATTTTGTGGTGAAACACTTTGTTATTTTTGTTATTGGCTATGAAATAATGTTAATCGCTATTTTAGTTTGTTATTTAGTTGATAATTAAATAAAGTATTTAGGGTATATTTTGAGAAATAATAATAACAAGTATATATTATAATGTGTTTGTATTAATAACTGTGATGTTATAAATGTATTATTTTGTAATATTTAATGACTAATTTGTCATTTAAGATTGTTAATTATTTCCTAAAATAGAAATGAGAACATTCTAATGAACGTCCAAAAAAGGAAAGTGAGAATCTTCTAATGGGAAAAATAAGACAAAAATGACCATTTTCCCGCTCAAAGCAACGAGTCAATACAAGTCGGCTTTAGGAGATCTTTGAAATAGGAAAAGTACAATGCATTTATTGAGTAATCCGACGCGGGGTGGGTTCATGGTGTGCACGCCGGCAGGGTAATAGCAATTATATGCAGCAATTCAACAGCTTTTTAAATGCCCATTTATTGCCACTAAACGATGATTGGACTTTAGAGTTATATATATATCGGTCTTGGAAATGCAAGCAGAAAATTGGGTAAATTGCACCATATCCCTCTCTCTGTTATACAATACATGCATACTATCTCCTTGGGAATAAGTGTCACTTTGGTCCTCAAAGTTGCAAAAAAGGAGTCAAATAAGTCCTTATATAAAAAATTCTGTCCGGACGTGCCATTTGAGGTGGCTCCCGGTGGAATTTTTTGATTAAATTTTTTGAGCATCTTATTCATTAAGTCTAGTTTACTCATACCAAATTTCAGATAAAAATTCAATCGGGAAGACATTCAAATGAATTTTTGAAGATAAATGTGTCGTTAAAAGCGCAGTTATCTTCAAGAATTCATTTGAATGTCTCCCCGGTTGAATTTTTAGCTGAAATTTGGTATGAGTAAACTAGACTTAATGAATAAGATGCTCAAAAAATTTCATCAAAAAAATCTACCGGGAGCCACCTCAAATGGCACGTTCGGACAGAATCTTCTATATAAAGACTTATTTGACCCTTTTTTGCAACTTCGAGGACCAAACTGACCCTTTACTCTATCTCCTTGTGTTTTTTAAAACCAAAAAATTATTGTTACACATTTTTTGTACACACACTTACACACTCGTGTTTGTGAAGTGTTTTTTTTGTCTGTATACAGACACAACGCATTTGAAGTGTCTGTGAAATAAGTTGTGTCTGTATACAGACAAAACAAAACACTTCACAGACACGGGTGTGTAAGTGTGTACAAAAATGTGTACCTCAAGTCTTGTTGTTTTTAAAATACACAAAACCCACTTATGTTTTATAAAACGTTGCATATACTATCCACAATGATGCACGTGTGATGCACTTGCTTTTTGGTGCGACTTGTTGTAGAATTTTATAGGGGTGAGCATAAAACCCGAACCGAACCGGTACCGAACCGTCTCGTAATGGTACCGAACCGAATAACGGGTATTTAAACGGTTCTATATATTTTTGTCTCGTACCGAAACCGTACCGTTTGAAACAGGTACGGGACCTGTCCTAGATTTTGAGAACCGAAAAATACCGGACCGAACCGTTTGAAAATAATGCACTTGAATTTTTTATATTTTTTCCATACCAATTCAATAGATCTCTTTTATAGACCAATAATTTTATAGCCCAAGTATGTATTTATGCGTCCTTAAAATAACTAAATGTGTGTGTTTATATATATATATAATATATATTATTGTTTTTTCTTTTTAGATAATTTATGTTATATTTTGGTATGTATTGAAAGAATATTAAAATGTTAAAGAAATCATTAATGACTTCATTTCTAGTAATGCTATTGTACACGACTTTTTGTTGTATCACGTATGTGCAATTTTACAACTTAATTAATATGGTTTAAATTTTAGCTCTCAAGGTTCAACTATAAATAAAATTAGAACAATGGAGTATTATTTAACCTAGAATGAAGAAGAAGAAGAACGTTGAGGATTTCTATTATATTCAACAATTTGATGATTTTTTTAATATTTTTACATGATTAAGTAAATTAAGGATGATATTTATCTCGTGCGTCATCGTTTTGCTATACTCTTTCTTAGTTGTGTTGCGCTATTTGTTTATTTGTGAATTTGATGATATATGCAATTTCTTGTATTTATATCAACATTTCTTGTGAGTTGGTTGGTGTGATGATATCTAATAATTGCAAGATTTGTTCAAATTTTTTAGCATGTGTTTGGCATTGTACCGTATCGTTTTGTACCGTTCCGAAATGACATGGTACCGAATGGTTCCATTCTTGAAACCGGACCGTACCGGACCATTAAAAACCTCACGGATAGTTAATGTCAATTTTAGCACGTGTGATGCACTTGCATACCAAAATTATTTTAGCACTTCATTATACGTATTGCACTTTATTTACAGATCTTAGAACTTATTATTAGTTCTATTGAAGAGGTGTTTTGGTAATTATTTATAATCAAACGTTTGAAATAGAAGTTGTGGTTCTTGATTTGGAGCAAGAAACGTACTTAGATGCATCCAGGCCAATGACCTACGATTTGGGTGCAACGAATTACAAAGCATGGGTAGAGTACAAGAAGGATAGATCAGTAATTGTTTCCCCAAACAGTACAATAATAACTTTCAGCCGAAAAAGGAGGTCCTCCCTTATTTTTTTGGCTGAAAATAAAGATAAGCCATAAGAGCCCATCTCATGAGTGTTTGGCATATTTTTTTGTTTTTTTTTTTTGCATTTTAAGGCTTTTCAGACATTTTTTGATCCTTCAGACGGCCACTAAGGGAGTGTTTGCGATTGCTTGTGCTTTTTAAAAGTGATTTTTTTAAGAGATTATTGGAAAAGTGATTTATAGTAAAAGTTGGTAGTGTTTGAGAATAGAAGTGATTAAAGTGAGAAAGTAAAAGTTGAAGTGTTTGATAAAAAAGTGATTATTGATGTAAAGTTTTATTGAAGTACAAGAACACCCCTAAATAAATTTTGAATCCATACATCTCATTCACTGAATACTCAAAATCATTACCCATCCCTAGCCTCTGATTTGCACGACGAAGACGACGGTAGAGAATTCTCCTCAATTCTTTCCGATGCAAACACCTTTCTAATTGGATTAGTTCTCCAGATTTTGATTTAAAAAGGGTTTGCAATTAGTTCTCACTCACCGTTCCAACTGTACTCATGAAAGGCATTTTAGAAACAAAAAATGGAGCAAATGTCTGAAGCCTGCGATTTTGAACTGTTGAAATTTTGCAATTGAAACCTCCAATTTTTTCATGTACTCCAAATTCTCTCTCACAGAGTAGAATTATTAAGATGCTCTTGTGTCATCCTTCACTAGTTGAGAAAGGGCGAAGGTAGGAAGATGTAAAGCATGAGTTTAATAAAATACTTCGTATATACTATTAGGGTGCAGAGAACTATGGAGGGGGGAGAAGAAGCTGGCGCAGAGAACTATGGAGGGGGGAAGAAGCTGACGCAGGGAACTATGGAATTCGTCAGAAGATTGGAAGAGTGAAGGGTATGTTGGGGTTAAATTAAATAATTGACCATTATAACTGCCACTAGAGTTGGGAGTTATTTACAAAAAACCTAGAAGCTGTTAAAAGCACTCCTACCCCAGCTTCCAGCTTTTGACTTTAAACTGCTTTTTTAAAGCAAAAGTTAGAATTACCAAACACTTTTTTTGACTTTTTTTAATCTAAAAGCTCCAAAGCACTTTTTTTAATCAAAGGAAAACACTCCCTAAATGTTGTCCATTTTATTCCAATTTTTAAGATTTCAATCCAAGTGAAACCAGGTAGAATTTGAAGGGACGGAAAGAGCACAATGTAATAACCACGAAACATCAAAATACGTTCATTGTAATCGACTAATTGTACAGATAGCCCTTTGAGTCAATAGAGGTTATGCAGCCAGCTGAATATTACCCCGTAATACCTAAACTTTGATTAGAAAACCCAATCCATTCATCTCGCAACGCTTCAAATCGATGAACCAAAAACAAAAAAGATGAACCAAATACTCCATATCTGAGATGGCAAAAGGAAAGGTTCAATGGCTCGTGCTAGAGAAGCTAGATACATATATTCAAATCAAGCCCTGAGGACGAGGAGGAGAGTGGAACTATGCCGGATGTTGTAGTCGGCAAGCGTCTTACAGTCCTCCAGTTGCCTTCCCCCGACGATGAGGCGCTGCCGGTCAGGCGGATAGCCTGCCGAATCCTCTATTTGTTCCTTCAATTCACCAACAGTGTCCGATGATTCGACCTCTAAGGTAACCGTCTTCTCCCTCAGGGTGTTCACAAAGATCCGCATCGACGACGACGAAGACCACGCGCCTCCGGTTCTCTTCCGCCGCACGCTCCTTGAAGCACGCGCCCTGGGGTTGCAGCCCTCAGCATCTGGTGCTCTGCTCTTTCCAGTGGCAGAGGCATACACATGAAGGGGCTGGGAGAGATCCACCGACTTCAAAAACCACCGCCACGATCGATCATCAGTGAGCGGAATAGAGACGAACACCAACTTCTCTCCGTCCACCCTCGTCGCGTACTTCCCGAACAGATCCAAACTCGTTTCCTCTTCGTCGGTGTTCATCGCCGAATGCACCTCCGCCACGAGATCTTCGTGGCCACTGTGGCGACTCAAGAAACGCATCGTTTTTGGCGGATCTGAATAATCCACAGACCCGAGATCTCCTCGCTTTATCATTTCCCCGCCCCAAAACAACAAAGCCACAACTTCTTCCGCATTGCCTCCTGCGCTCATTATTGATTAGGAGAAAAAAAAACAAAGTGTAAAAGAAAACAAAACGCATCTACTCCGTAATTAAGTAAATGTCTTGCCTGCCATCTTCCCTTCGATCGATTTCACCTTGTACTGTCTTACTCGGAGTCGAGGTAAAATTATGCATGGTGCTAAAAAAGGAAATGTGTATTCAGGGATCTATGTATTGGCTATGGTAGGCTGAAGCCCAGGATAACTTGGAAAATTTTCAATTTTTTTAGTGTAATTTTTTTTCACATTTAGTCCACCCCTCTAATATTTAAGCCTAGTATAATTCCTTTCAGCCCAGGGCATCTCAGATTCCTGGATCCGCCCCTGTGTGTATTTATATAGAGATCCCAAAAAAGTAAAGTGTGTCTTTTATTAAGGGACGGATGAAGTATTAAAATGCTCCGGACCTCCGGTAATGATACTTAACTTTGAACAATGATACGATAGTATGTTTTAATACAAAATTATTTTGAACATAAAAATTGTACTCGTATTAAATGTTCCTCATTTTTAAATACTTTTATGAAAACTTTTATGAAAATATAAAATTTATAAATTATATACAAATATAATAATTAAAATTATTATTTAAAGTTTGTCATCATTGACTAAGAAAAATGAATCACTCTGGATTCAAGTTTTTAAGATAATCTCTATTAAGTAAGGATGTTATCTTTTGGACTGAATTTGCTGGTCTAATCTGGTCTGGTCTGATCTGAACTGGTCTGATCTGAACTGGTCTGGTCTGGGAACATCTGGTCTCTGTGTATTTTATAACTACAGAAGTCAAGTCTGATCTGGTCTAATCTGGTCTGGGACTGAAAAGTATCCAAAAGAAAACATCTTAAGGGAGTGTTTGCAACAACTTATGCTTAAAAAAACACTTTTGGAGTGATTTGGAAAAAGTGATTAGTAGTAAAAATTGATAGTGTTTGAGAAAAAAGTGATTTTAAAAAACAAAAGTTGGTAGTGTTTGGTAAAATAAGTGCTTTTTGTGTAATAGAAAAGGGAAAAACACTTTTCACACGAAAGCCGAGAAAAGTAAAAATTGATAGTGTTTTGTAAATAAATGTTTTTTAAGCCAAAAGCCGATAAATGCTTTTTTAAGCACTTGCAAACATTCCCTAAATCGAACAGAGTTGGGTATTGAAAAGCGAATCACCTTGGATATAAACACTTAGGGCCTGTTTACTAACAGAGATATTTTCCAGAAAACTGGAAAACAGAAAACAAGAAACTCGTTTACCAAAGAAAATTACTGGAAAACTGGAGAAAGAAAAAAAGAAAAACACGTTTACCAAATCGTTTCCCAAAACGAAAAAAAATGAGACATGTCTCTCTTTTTCTTAATGATTTAGAGAAGTGACTTTTACTAGTTTTCCAAATTTGGAAAACGCAGATGCTACAGTGCCGCTACAATGAATTTGCATACTTACACCTAGTGGTGGGTCAGGTCCCGCTCCAATGTTGATTCCATTCCAGTACCTTCATCCTTGTACCTTAACCCTTACCCTACCCACCCAACCCCCACCCCTACCCACATGCCACTACCCACATGCCCCTACCTCGGTCCCACCCTGACCCACCCTCGTATATTACCCCTTACCACATGCCCCTACCTCGACCCCACCTTACTGCCATCCTACCCCCACCCTACCGTCATCCTACCCCCACCGCCGCCATCCTACCCCCACCCTACCCTTCCCCCACCCTGATCGCGGCCCCACCCTACCACCATCCTACCCCAACTCCCTACCCTACCCATACTTTACCCCAACCCTACCCATTTCCATTACCCCTAACCACGACCCTAACCCACCCACTACCCCCACCCAACCCCCAACCCCTAGACCTTACCACCCCACCCCGACCATACCCCACCCCACCCCACCCATACCTTCCCTACCCCAACCCCTACGAGTAGGCCAGTATGGGTGGGTATGAAGGGTTGTAGGGGATCATGGGTAGAGTTTAAGATCATGGTAAGGGTATGGGTAGGGGTCAAAGGTGTGGGATTAGGTGTAAGGTGGGGGTACGAGGTATAGGGCCGCCCCTATGACTACGGTTATGTAGATGATTATTTTAACTATTTTGTCATATAATTTTTCCATTTTTTAATTAATAAACTATATTGTATATATGATTTTTCATAATGCACTCAACTCAGTCGCTTCATTCAAAATTTCATCAATTACAACATATTCATCCAATTCAATCAATTTTAGTGCTGCTGAACCTGCTATTATGTTATTTATGTATTTTATATTTTAATATACATATTATATTCTGGCCCCCTTATATTAAAGTCTGGCTCCATCCTGTAAGCAGTTGTAATTGTATTTCTTAATTTCTTAATTATTCGAGTTAATCATACATTGAAATTTTAAGTACTTCTCATATATATTAGTTGTTTATTATATCAATATGTGAAAATTTACATTTATGATTTTGTTAGTATTTCTAAAGAGTTCTATTCCTTGTGTCCCACTAACATTGGCGGTTATAGTTGACCGACAATAAAATTAATTTTGCCCGGTGATGCTTAGGTAATTAGTACGGAGTAATATCTAAAATTTCGCAAATGAATCAAGTGTAATTAAACACAAAAACAAAACTTCAATAACATATTAATTTGTACTCAAAATCAAAGAATAAAATGTAATTTTGTTGAAAAGGTTTATTAAATACATCTGCTAAAATATATTCATGGAGTAGTGATATACACTATTTCTTAGTGCATAAGTTTGTTATTTTAGTATTGTTTGATTGTTGTTTTTAATTGTTTAGTTTAGTTTGTGATGTACTCTATAGATTTATTTTGTAGGTTTTAATTTGTATTTTTAGTGTGTATTTTGTTGTAAGTACCATAAGGGATGCAAGGAAGTATTATAGGCACCAAAGGAAGGCAAGATGAATGGTGGAAATATAACCCGGTCGGGTTGAAATATAACCCGGTCGGGTTGGAAGTGACATATGAAGCCAAAGGGAAGCTACGCACCAAAACCCGGTCGGGTTGGTATAAAACCCGGTCGGGTTGAGTTGACAAGATCAAAAGAACGTGTCCAAGATCAAGAGAACGTGGGAAATATCCGATTTGATACGTAACCCGGTCGGGTTTTGACCCAACCCGGCCGGGTTGAATGTGATATCAGCACCTTCCGAGCAATTAAGGATACCCGATCGGGTATTCTACATACCCGGTCGGGTATCAGACTCAGCCACCTCAAAATATCTATAAATACACCTCCTTTTCCTCCCATTTAAAGCACCAATTCACATATACTTCTAATCTCAGTTTAGACAAGTTATTACTTTATATCTTCTTCATGTTTAGTCTCCAAATGAGGAGCTAAACTCTTCCATCTTGGTTTTGCTACTTTGAAGCTTAATGAATTGTAAGTTGTGAGTTATTTTCTTTAATCTTCTTCCTTGAATATTAATTAATTCCTATTCCTATTACATATTAATATTTTGAGCATTACTTAATGCATGCGTCTCATGGTTAATAACCTAAGGGGAATTAATTATATTGATTAAACCGATAAACCGCTTGTGTTGAGGTTATCAATCTCAATCGTTTTCATCTCTATTTTATTGCTACTATCGAGTGAATATACGGCGCGTGTTCTATATTAACTCGATAGTAAGTTTTATTAATGAACGCGTCTCGTTATTAATAACTACCCTCGATGAATTGGATATACTCCTCGATTGAGTATTCGAGAGGAAGATAGTTAAAGATATAACCGGGATCGACGAACATTTCATTAAGTGGATAAAAGCAAAGTCAAGTCTTCTTCTCATTAATTAAAACACATAAGTCGTTCATCTTCGTGTTTAATTTATTAAACCAAATCAAACTAAAAAACCCCTTTTTATTACTAGTTCTATAAAAAGAAAAATATTCTTTTCCCTGTGGATACGAACCTTACTACACTATACTACGTATTAGTGTTGTATTGATTAATTACTTTGAGTGCACACCACGACAAAGTGCACGTCAAGTAGCTTTAGTAAAAAAGGGAAAATACTTTATTGCTTTAGAGATCAGCTCTGTAACTTATTGCTTTGTGCCTTTGTTGGTGGTGTAAATGTGTAACGATCGTATAATAGCTTCTCGTGTAGATGAATGAATAAAATATGCTTCCTATGTCACAAAAAACCTTTGCGATCTTGTTCTTTTTTTTTTTGTGTTTTGCAATGAAAGAAACGAAAGAGCAGCAAAATAGACCTATTCAGGGCCCGTTTGGTGACGGCTGCAACGGCTGAAATGGCTGAAATGGCTGAAGTGAGAGTGGTAATATTGTGGCTGAAATGGCTGATTGAATGTAAAATTACAATAAAGGGTACTAATTTATTTCAACGGAGATCACTCTATATTGTTGTCGAAGCTACAGATTGTTCCTGAGAAACAAAAGCAATATGTTGAACTCATTACACGGGAGCAATAAGTAGTATCAAACCAATTTGATTAAACAAGATATTTAGCATAGATTAAAATATTCAAGAACCCTTCTCACTAAATCGATGTATGAACAATTGGGGAGGAACAAAACCTCTAATAATCATTATCATATGTGTAGGCCGGGAACAACTGGGAGCAACATGGGTTTGGAAAGAAGAAGAAGAGAGCTTACCTTTAGAAAAAATGGAGCAATTACCGTCAATCGAAAAGAAGATCGAGGTCGAAACAATTGCCCATGTATATTTCAACTAGTTATACAACGCGCGTTGCGCGAGAAGATAATGCCCAATATTATTTTATGATAAGATATGAGATTAAGATTTGTCAAAGGTGACATATAGTAATATAATAAAAAATGTGTAATCCATGATGATTTGGTGTTTTTAGCACATAGTAACCGTTCTGAAAAAAGAATCTAAGATAATAGATTTTTTTAAAAAAGTAAAATAATAGATTTCCATGATATAAAGTTGCAATTTACGGGATTATGTTAAAAAATGCTTAAATGGATTAAAAATTTGACAAGGTTCATATAGTTACTATGTATAAAACAATGTCATTAGAATAAAAAAATGTTGACGCCAATATGTTGTGTGAGACTGTGATGTCTTTAGTAGGACTTTGGTGGAATTTGTGTGCTGAGATGACCCATAAGCAGGGCCGGTCCTGGGGCATGGGCAGGAGGGGCATGCGCTCAGGGCCCTTTGCTCCTGTAGGGCCCATAAAATTTTAAAATATGTGTGTATGTATGTACATAAATATTTTAAATATATATAAATTATATTTTATAAAAAATAAAAAATAAAATCAAACTTATATTTTTAGATACTTCTAATTTGTTATTTACCATGTACACGATACAAGTCTATAATTTTGAAACATCCACATTAGAATTCATTGGGAACATATTTCACCATTTCTTTTGAATCATTAAGGATTATT